AGGGGGGGGGGGGGGAGTTGTTATCATTACATCAAGACTGATATCGACTGAATTTATTTTCTCAATTCGGCAGAATCAATTCATCGAGAAGAACAACGATGCACTGCATGCTTCTTTGGAAGCACTTATTCAGGAAAGTGGCAATAAATTCCTCAGGACACAATTCGCCAATTATTCCTCTCAGAAGGGGAAACTAACCTTCATCAGCGTCGGCAGTAAATTCAAGACTCAGTTGGGTGAATTAATGGACAAGTTGAAGAGTAATGTAAGAACATTCTCTTTCTTGACGTTGTAAGACTGTTTAAATGTCCTACAAATTTTCCTCCTACACTTTTATCAGCCTCTACTAAGCGCTCCACTTAATCCTTTCTTCTACTTTCAGGGAACAAATTTCATAAGGTGCATCAAGCCGAACAACGACATGGTCGCTCATCAATTTGATGGCAATAGTATTCTGAGCCAGCTGCGTTGCTCGGGCATGACGTCGGTGCTGGAACTGATGGAACACGGTTATCCTAGCCGAGTGCCTTTCCACGAGCTCTATAATATGTACAAATCTTATCTTCCACCGGAACTCGCCAAACTGGATCCCAGATTCTTCTGTGAAGCGCTACTTCATAGTTTGAAACTGAACCAGAAAGACTTCAAGTTCGGCATTACTAGAGTCTTCTTCAAGCCGGGAAAGTTTGCGGAATTCGACAGGATTATGAAATCCGATCCTGAGAATTTACGCAAGCTGGTCGCTGACGTGAAAAAATGGCTGCTTAAGTCGCGATGGAATAAAATGCAGTTCTGTGCCCTGTCGGTGATCAAACTGAAGAACAAGATCATCTATCGACGACAGCATCTGATCGTTTTGCAGAAGACGGTGAGGATGTATTTTGAGAAGAAGAGGCATCGGCCAAGGATTCGCGGCATGATGAAGATTAGGAATCTGAAGAAGCAACTGATACGAATGGAGGAAACCGCGAGTCAGTTGAAAAATCGTGAAAAGTCGTCGCGAGACATGAAGAGGCTTGAGAACGATTTCGAGATGGCTATGGATAAAATTAAACGCAACCCGAGGATAACACCGACAGAGATCGATGGGCTTTACATGTCGCTGGTGAATCAGATGAACAGACAAATGGCTGATTTACAAAATATGATGAAACAAGAGAAAGTCGCCGAAGAACAGGCGAGACTTAAAAAGATTCAACAGGAGCTTGAACTGGAGAAGAAGCGAAAAGAGGAAGAAGAACGTAAAAAGAGAGAGGAGGAAGAGCACAGGAAAAAGAAATTCGAGATGGAAGCTAGAAGAAAAATCGAGGAGGAACAAAGGAGGAAGCAGGAAGAAGAAGATCAAAAGACCGCGGTTGCGCTTCAGGTTTGTCGAATTTTTCATGTTGCTTTTGCGTTTTCTCAATTATACGAAAAATTGTTCATTTATTTATTATTTAAAGGCTCAACTGCAGAAGGAAGCTATGGAGGAGACTCGGTATCGGGAATTGCTCGAGCAAGAAAGAAGAGACCACGAATTGGCAGTCAGACTCGCTAAAGAATCGAACGGACAAGTGGAGGATTCTCCGCCACCTATGCGAAGGTAAGCAACAGAAAAGAGTTCAGTTTCTCTGGAAAAGAAATTCGGGGCTTCGTGATTAGATGGTAATCCGATTAATTCGTACAATTCGATATCTAATTGCAATTCATAATTGCAATTTAATCGACGTCCGACTGTTAATAACGCATGTCAATGCCGAATTCGACGGTTTTATCGTTGCGCAATAGAGCGAGAGCAGAAATAAGATTTTGTTTTGTTAAAATCACGCAGTGGCTCCGACGTGCGAGTACCGACAAACAACAACAGGCTGATAAGGTATTGTATATGATTTTTCGCGTTTCTCGCATGAATTGATTAACAATGATACCGATTAATAGACTAACGATGACTAATAGCTACTTATAGACACTCGCACCTTGCTCGAATAAATTAACACTTCTGCTGCTTCACATTAACCCCCACTGATCTCGATTCACCGGTAAATCTTATTCAGTGGACAAACTGTTCCTTGTCGAGAAAAGTTCATCATTTGTCATTCGAGAAACGACGGCTGCTGATGTATCTGCGCACGTTTATTAATCGATAGAAATCATAATCAAAAGACGGAAAGGATAGAAAGAGATTCTCAGATCCTCGTTTGGATCTCTCGCACCATCTCCCCAAGACTTAATCGCATGATCCACTAAAATTTCATGGTGTACACTAATCTCTCGCTTTCTCGTAGAGTAACGCATTGTGGTGAAAACGTTGCATGTGTTAGCACTTAGAGTAATTTAATCGAAAGTAACGCTCGTCGCTCTAAATGAAATCGCAATCAGATAATATTTTTATTCTGTGAGGGCATATATATGTTTTGTTCACGATGTAGATCGGAACAGGTGCGCAATCATCAAGCAGCCATGAGCAACAAGAAGTACGATCTGTCCAAGTGGAAGTACTCCGAGCTACGAGATGCGATTAATACGTCCTGCGACATAGAGTTGCTGGAGGTACGTACGAATTATTGTCAAATAATTAATTGTGATCGTCTCGTTTACTGACTGTATCTTATCTGTGTGTCGGGAACAGGCTTGCCGTCACGAGTTTCATCGTAGACTAAAAGTTTATCACGCTTGGAAGGCGAGAAATCGCAGGAGGACTACCATGGACGAGAATGAGAGAGCACCAAAATCCATCATGGAAGAGGGTGAGCATCATCTTAATTAACCAATAAATACTCTGATCAATTATGTAATCAGAATTGGGAGAGTTACTTTTTAAGAGTAAGTTGTTACTATTTACTGTTACTAATAAGAGAACTAGTGTTGTTGTACCAAGTCGTTGCTTGTAACGTTAATGATATTACAAGTAATTCGTTACTTCCCAGCCCTGATCATGATTATAAGATCAATTGTCGATCGATTTGGCAGTGTTGATTGTGCTTTCCAGCTGCGAAAACACCGAGGACACCGCTGAAGCAGCAGATAGTCGAATCGTCGCAAAGATACTTCAGAATCCCGTTTGTTCGTTCCTCTGCGGCAGGTCAGCAGGATAATATACACGGTGGTGGCAAAAGAGGATGGTGGTACGCTCACTTCGACGGTCAATACGTAGCGCGGCAGATGGAGCTTCATCCTGATAAACCGCCGATACTTCTCGTAGCAGGTAGATCGGCTCGTGTACCGACATGTACTCGTGGCTAACTCTTTGCGTTCTCTGTCTCTCTCTCTCTCTCTCCGAAGATGTTGCGAGAAAAATTTCTTGTGTAGAACTTGGAATACGCGGCGGAAAATCCTTTGAGCTTTAAATCGGTTTTAAAACTGACGGTAGCTACATCTAAAATTTGTTTTATTATAAAAAGAATCCTAAATAAGAGCGAACGTCGAAAGTTTGGGCAAAAAACATCAATATAATTGACTAAGGATTGATTATAACAAATTGACATAATAAGCTTTACATTCACAAACGTTTCGGTCCTTAATTTGGACCCTCTTCAGTGTACGGAGAAGAAGTAATCGAGTGCTTTAGAATTTGCGTTGTTAGCAAAATAGCGAATAAAGTCTCGATCTGTAAGAAATACAGTGTGAAGAACAAATGACGATAGTCTGACGCGTGCAAATAAGCTGATAGAATAGAATCTGCATACATAGAATTTGCATATAGATACGACATTTATATAACAGGATATATTTATATTAACAAGATTGTATATGGATTTGTAAAATATTACGTTTTATCAAACACAAAATGTTTATCACTATTGTCGTGTCAACTTTAGTTCTCAGTAGTTTTATTAGATAACAGAATAATATCATTATCTGTTATCTACTCTATTAGCCGATTTCCTGTTAAATTCATGATAGAATGTTATAAAATTGTTTATTTGCTAGATCCAATTATTCTTGTATCTGATTATAGGCACAGTCCAGCAACCGCTACAAATTCTGCGTTTCTCCCTCTTGTTCTATTCCTCGGATTCGAATGAAGAAAGAGAAAAAAATAAAAACGCTACAAAGCATTTGCAGCGCCCGTTGGACTGTACCCTATACCTAAGCATATAGGAAGCGTAATAATCAGATCTGAATCATATATAACGTTATATCTGATTATATCTGAAAGATCTGATCAGATCTTGACAATATCCATATCTGGCTTTTATCTGAACTTTTTTTCCCGGGTTATTATAATTAGACCGTTGTTCTTTTTCTATTTATAATTTTTACAATTTATTATGCAATTTTCTATTTATAATTTTTACAATTTATTATGCAATCAATTTTTATATTAGTTTAATGTACCTATATTACGTACACTGAAGAGGGTCCAAATTAAGGACCGAAACGTTTGTGAATGTAAAATTTATTATATAATTAATCTTTAGTCAATTACATTGATGTTTTTTGACCAAATTTCCGGCGTTGGCTCTTATTTGTCTTTTTTTAGTATTCTTTTGATTGTATTTCTTAAGAGCTTTAACCGTTTTAAATTATTGTTTTCTTATATCCACACTTAGCCGCATTGTCTGTATTTCAAAAAAACATGAAGAATATATATGTTTGACACTTGATGGAAGAGAAACATAAAAAGGTTGCAAGATAGTTTAGAAAATGCAGCTATGAAAAACATATCTTTTGATTTAAAACTCGCGACGGCGTTTTTCGAGTTTTAAGTTGGTTTTAAGATTTGTACAGTTACATATTTTATGTATAAATTAGTTTAGAGTATATGGATTTAAAACTTGAGAGACGCCGCCGCAACATTTTTCGTGTTTTGTAAATAACTTTGAATGGTATTTTACGTGGTTACAGTATTCCTTGGAGTTTATTACTGAGCTCAAATAATTTGATTGACTTGTTCCTTTTTTTTCCTACCTTCCAGGTATTGACGACATGCAGATGTGCGAATTGAGCCTGGATGAGACCGGATTGACGAGGAAACGCGGCGCCGAGATCTTGGAGTACGAATTTAATCGCGAGTGGGAAAGGTACGGCGGTAAGCCGTACTTACCGCCGTGCGACCGCAAGAAGTGAAGATCTCCCGTAGAAGAATCGTCTGTTCGCGTCGTTGCCGTATAAATCAACGCGGGAAGTTCACGATGGCGCTTACGTATATTATAGTATTTACATTCGATGCGAGAAAACGTATCGGCGATTCTGTGCCTTGCGAAGTGTGCCTTACGCATTGTTCGGCACGGATTACAAGTATGTAATTTATATATTACGTCGTAGCTATATTAATGCAAGAGTCTTTCCATTGATATAATCAGCGAATATCTGACAAACGATCCTATTCCGTGGAATCTAGCTTTTACCAACGATTACGAGTCGATCCGTATTCCGAGACACTTTCGGTGAAATTGCAATGACAAACGTTATACGGAACGTACGTCGAGGATCTGTAATAAGAGAGAACGCGCCTAAGATCATGCGATTTGTATTAACTCCTCCGATTTATTTAATTCGTTAGAGATACTAGCGTCTTTAAACATTTATAGATTTGTAGCCGTAAATCGAATATGACAGATATAGCCGAGGTTCTTTGTATTAAGCTTGAGCATCGTTAGCATGCACTTCTGAGTTACATAGAGATAATTTCGTCATTTATATGATTCGTTTACGCATTTAGCAGTGATAACATTTAGATCTCGGCTGATGCATTGCGATAGATCGGCCCGAGTAACTAGTAAAGTTCGTAGAAAAAAAGACGCGAAGAAACAATGTACGCCGCAACAGAAAAGCATTTTGGAAAATAAACGAAGTGATGTATGATACTTGAGGCTTCAGGTTGCTCTTCTCGCTGAAGATGTTTACGAAATGTCTGAAACAAACCTACAAAAAACGCGGCACCAATCTGGAAGCTGGATCAAACAAAGTGATAATGTTTGAAGAAACATAACTCCCTTCAAATTTGTCTAAAGATCTAAATGGTTCTGATGTACAGGCATGCAGAAAACTGTTACTCTGTACATACTACAGACTGGAGACTAGTAAAGACCACTACTCTGCACATCTCTTAGTTTATACTTTGTGCTTAGTAGCGCGATAGCTTCATCGTCCGGGTGAAACTACTGAAAATTTAAGTTGTTGACAGGACAACAGTGACAAATATTTTGTGTTTGATAAAACGTAATGTTTTAAAAATCCATACAATTTTAACAATCCGGTTAGATAAATATCCTCTCTGTATACAAATTATAGATTCTATTCTATCAACTCATTTGTACGCGTCAGACTATTGTTCTTCACACTGTATTTCTTACAGATCGAGACTTCATTCGCTATTTTGCTAACAACTTTAAATTCTAAAGCAGCAATTAGTCGCGGTTACTTTTTATTGTTGACAGAAAGGTGGTGTCCAACCACCGAAGGCCCTCTCCAGTTCTTTCGCAACCGCCAGGCAAAGACGATCCTGATAAGGCGCGACTACCACCTGAAAAGTTTTGAATTTTTTATATGTTAACATTTCGAGTATGCTTGATAAAATCGTTATTAGTAAGCCGAGTGTTATCTAACACGGAACGCGTTGCTCGAGATATTTCAATCTACCTGAACACCTATCGGCAATCCCTCGTGATTAAGTCCCATCGGCACGTGTAACGCAGGGAAACCGAGAACACTAAAGACGCTGGTATACATAGCATTTACAAATTCAAAACACATAAGTTTCTGAAAGATTGCCGGGCTCCGATAGGTCGGACATATGAGCACATCATTCTCTCCCAAGAGATCCTGCAAAAGAGACAATAATTCGGTGATCATGGATATATAGGGTGTTCAACATAACGTTATCTACTATTTTCTTACAACGATTGGTCAGGAAAAAACTCTAGATGCAATTAATCAGTTTTTAAACGGTAATAACGTGCAATAATAAAAATGTCGGAAATGTTCGTTTTCGTAAAAAAATTAAGAATTATTATTTTTTAAATGAAACCATATCTTTCCTTCTCGGAAAAAAAAGTTCAGACAAAAACCAGATATGGATTTTGTCAAGATCTGATGAGATATAATCAGATATAACGTTATATATGATTCAGATCTGTCCATATATAATCATATATAATTGTATATGATTATATATTATTATTATATGTAGACAGATTTGAATCATATATAACGTTATATCTGATTATATCTGATCAGATCTTGACAAAATCCATATCTGGTTTTTATCTAAACTTTTTTTCCCTGGTTTTATCGATTGTAAAAAGGATCAAAATAAATTCAATATTAACTTACTTAGTGTTACTTTTATGAACATTTAACAGTGACAATACAGACAAAAGATAAGATGTTTGGAATACAATGTAAGGAATAATGTTAGTTGTTCTGGACATGTTCGAAATGTAATCCATTTTCTGCAAAACAAAGTTCCGCTATTTGTAATAGAATTCTATATGTCGCATTATTTAAAATTATTAGGGTATTCCGTTTTATATTTCTGCATATTTGTGTTATACGTTGTTGAGATTCTTCATTGTTATTTTATGACATTCTTTTTTGCAAATAGCAATAAAGATAATATTATGAGTTACTATTGAATTTGTTTTGATTCTCTTTACAATATTATGGATAAAAGAGATAGAGTTTCATTTTTAAAAAGAGACCTTAATTATTTTGCGAAAAAAGAGTGTTTTCGAAATTTCCATTGTTGCATTTTATTACCGTTTAAAAACTGACTAATTGCATCTAGAACTTTTTCCCATCCAATTATTATAACTAGTGAAAATGTAGCGAATACCATTACGGTGAATAGCTTGCAGAGTACTTTTCATTTAATAGCATAAATTGGTACAAGTTTAATTGTATAATTGCTACTTATTCAATATGAAACAAAGATAGAATACTTGTGTCAACTTGTGTTGCTAAATAGAAAGCATTCACACACGGGTATAACTGTATATACAAACGTGCATTTGGAGAACACTGACCAGTAATTTTTGTCGAATCTGTTCTCTTTGCTGCGTGTAATACGATATATCTGACTTTGTAAAAGGAAAATGTGTCTGGAGAAGGAAGGAGAAAAAGATCGTAGCGCTCGTGTGTTGCGATAGGCCAAACAAGGCTTTTATTGCTTCCATTATTGAATTCTTCTGAACCTGTGGAGGTACGTTAATGAAAACACAAAGTTAGATTATATATATATATATATATATATATATATATATATATATATATATAT